TACATTAGCAGTAGATCAGTTCTTTATCTTTCAAACATTCTTTTCTGTGCTTTCACAATCTCCTCGGCCTAGAAAAATCTCACAAAGACTGGTAGTACAGAGCCTAATTCCTGGAGTATATGGAGGGCTGGGGTGTAGTGGGATGAGAATAGTGGCTCATGAAGAGGATTGAACTGTCCACCTGTCCTTTCTTCCTCCTTCATTCTCCTTAATTGGAACTGATTTTCAGCTATCACATTCAAAGGGTGGGAGGAATCCCAGAGACTCAGGAGACTGAGGCAGGAGGACTGTTAAGTTCGAAATCAGCCTCAGCAACTTAGAAAGACCCTGCCTAAAAATAACATATAAAAAGGGGGACTTAGCTCACTGGTATAGCGCCCCTTGGTTCAATCTCTAGTGCAAAACAAATACCAAAAAAGAAAGGTAGGGGGAGGGCAGGCATGGTGGCACATGCTAGCAATCCCAGCATTCAGGAGGATGAGGCAGGAGGAACACAAGTGTAAGGTCAGCCTTGGCAACTCAATGAGAGTCTTGTTTCAAAAGGAAAAGGACTGGGAATGTAGCTTAATGGTAGATGGCCCCTGGGTTCAATCCCCAGTACTGGGGGAAAAAAAAGGTTAGCAGGGGAAGGGTCTCATGTAGAAGCACAGCTGTGGGCTAGTGCAGGTGGAAAGAGTACACTAGAGCTGCATTACTGCTAGAAATGCAGGAGTAGACGCCAGGCTCCTCTTGGAACTACAGATATAGAAAGGGGGAAAGCTATAATAAATCCAGGGTGCTGGGGTAGAATATGAGGAATCAATTTCAACTTAATGTAGACATATTCATTGCCCTGTACACTAAAAGAGCTAGAAGAAACAACCGAAGCGATCAGCACACACAGTTCTCAGGTCTTGGTTCTTTTTTTGTTTTTTTGTACCTGGGATTGAACCCAAGGGTGCTTAACTACTGAGCCACATCCCCAGCCCTTTTTATTTTTTATTTTAAGACAGGGTCTTGTTAGGTTGCTTACAGTCTTGCTAAGTTGCTGAGGTTGGCTTTAAACCTGAAATCTTCCTGCCTCAGCTTCTTGAGCCCTGGAATTACAGGAATGTACCACCACACCAGGCAGATCTTGGTTTTTAAATACAATTCTCTACTGAAAGCACCCAGACTCTTAGAAAAATGGCTTAGTCCAGAAACAGAGCAGGAAAAATATAAGATGATCCTGGCAAAGATTTTGTTTTAATCAAAGCAAAGGAATTGCAAATAATGATAAAAATATATCCAAAAGACATGAGCACTATCCTGAAAGTATTGGATGTATTTTTCTCTGAGGGTTACACTCTTGTTCAATCTGTCATTTATTTCATTCAAGTTGTCTTACACAGGGAATGACCGTTTGACTGGGCAAAAGGGGAGGAGGGGAGGGAACATAGGGGCAGGAAAGATGGTGGAGTGAGATGGACATCATTACCTTAGGTACATGTATGACTGCATATATGGTGTGACGCTACGTTGTGTACAACCAGAGAAATGAAAAGTTGTGCTGCAATTGTATATAGTGAATCAAAATGCATTCTGCTGTCATATATACGTAATTAGAATAAATAATTTTTTAAAATCAGCATAATATGTGCCTGAGATAATTCAATGAGACAAGTACAGCAACATTTCTGAGGTTCTCTTGACAAAAAGGTACAAATCACAAGGAGACATCAGAAAACCCAAACTGAGGGACATTCTACAAAGTAAACGGCCTGTATTTTTTAAAAAAATAAAAAGGTCATGAAAGACAAGGAAGGACTATACCAGACTAAAGGAGACTAAGGAAACATGATAACTAAATGTTATATGTGACTCTGGATTAGATCCTGGAGCGACGAGGGTCAATACTGGATATCAAGTCAAATGAAGGAAATGTGAATGCAGTTGATGAATTAGATGGAAGCATTAAATCAGTGTTAACTTCTTGATTGATGGTTATAGTGTGGTTGTTTGGGAGTATCCTGCAATTAAAAATACATGCTTAGGGTTGGGGATGTGGCTTAGTGGTAGAGTTCTTGCCTAGCATGAGCCCTAGGTTCAATCCTTACACTACAACACACACACACAACACACACACACACACACACACACTTATTAAATATGGAGGAATGAAGCAACATGTCTGCAACTTATTCTTATGGTTCCAAATATTAAAAATTGAGCAATCTAAGTGAAAGGTATATAAAGCTGAAAATGCTATTTTTATAACTTACATAAATTTGAAGTTATTTTAAAGCTAAAAAATTTAAAACACAACAGTAAAATATAGCCTATTAAATAAATTTGAGTCCACATTAAATAAACTCAAAGAAGCAAAGTAAAAAACAGAAAAGGATGGAGTTAAAAGTATCATAATAATAATTGATTCAAGTAAGATTTATCCAGATGCTAGGTGAAAGTCTGATGAGGAACTATTTACATGATTTCAAAGTTATCTTCCTTCAACCTGCTTTTTTAATTACAAAGGGAAATAATTGCAGTAGAGAAACTTGGAAGACACCGCCTTAAGTGATTCAAGTTAATGCTAATAGTGGGACAAATGGCATCATTCATCTTTTGATATGACAGTATAAACAGGACATATTGATTTTATGGTATTCATATAAAAAATGCACAGATAGATCTAATCATAAGGAATACTACACAAACTGACTAGCCCAAGCTTTGTAAAATTATCTATGTCACAAAAACAAAAAAGCTTGAGAAATTCTGCCAGATTAAAGACTGAAGAGATGTGACAATTAAATGCAACATGTGAATAGGAACTGGATTGCAGGGGGAAAAGATGGCTACAAAGTACATTACAGGAACAAATTGGCAAAGTTTGAATATGTAGTATATTAGATAATATTCAATGTCCTGAATTTGTTAACTGTTCTGTGGTTATACAAGAGACTCTTTATATATTCATACAGCATTTAATTTATATTTAGTTTACATTACTTAAGAGATTATGCTAAAGTATACGGAAGTAAAGAATCTTATCTGCAATTTAGTCTCGAAGGGTACAGCAAACAGTGTGTATTTCATAAGTACAGAGATTAGTAAGTCTAGGTAAAGGATATTGAGTATCTATTATTCTTGAAACTCTTCTATAAATTTTAAACTATTTCAAAATAAAGCATTTCTTAAAATGAGATAAAAAGAGCTTATCTCTGGGTCTTGGAATCTCAACTATTTTCATTCTCTTTTTAAACATATTTGCATTTAAATTTTTTTACAATACAAATGTAACATTTTCAAAACCATAACAAACACTATTTTTATTTTAGAAAGAAAACTGATTTCCTGCAATACAATATGATCTAAAAGTATTTCTTCAAATAGTAGTTTCACAGTTCATTACACCACTTTGATGTTCAGATGTATTCTGTGAAAGTTAAACATTAAATTGCCACTTGACAGATTGGCTGGGTCTGAATTTCATCATGAATTCATGGAACCAACACAGAGTCAACTTTTCTTCTGTGTTAGGTTACGACATATTTTCAGAACTGGAGACCTTTAGTTTTTTGTTTTACATAAACTTAAATCAAGATGTCACAGATGCTGCTGGTATTTTTTTTAATCTTATCTTGATTTTCTTCATCATCTCCACTCTTAATTTCAGTTTGGAATCTGGCTATACTGGACTCCACAGAGACTCTGCCTCTACTGAGGCAATTTTTGCTTGGACTGGTTCTTCAGACCCAGAAGTTCTCCTTATGGCAAGGTTATATGACAGCAAGCATCTCCCTGGCTTCCATTCAGTAAAATAAAAATCTGTCATTTTCATCGGACTATCGATTGCCAGAAAGTCTTACAACCTTTCCTATAATTCCATATTTGACTGAGCAGAGATGAAAGAATACAAATAATCACTTTAAAGAACGGATCTAGCTCATGTCTAAAGCCATAACACCTTGAACACATCCTATCAGCTGATTTTGGAAGCTAAGCAGGGTCAGGCCTGGTTAATACTTAGAAGAGAGAATTAATCTAGCCCAATTCCTGCCTACCTGCTTGCCTATCTTTTTTTCTTTTTCTTTTCTTTCTTTCTTTCTTTTTTTAGTTGTTGATGGTCACAATACCTTTATTTTGTTTATTTTTATGTGGTTCCAGGATTGACCCTAGTGCCTCATGCATGCTAGGCAAGTGCTCTACCACTGAGCCACAACCCCCCCCACCCCAACACACACATACACATCTATTTAGATACCAGGTCTCTTATGTTGCTCAGAGTGGTCAAAAAGTCCTGTGTTCAAGTGTTGCTTTTGCCTCAGCCTACAGAATAGTTGGAACTTCAAGTCTGAGCCACTGCACCCTACCCAATATTTCATTTTGAAGAACATTAACTAGTGTTTTGGTTGCTTTATCAAAATGAATTTATCTTCTTTCTTCCAAATACAATTTGGAGTTGCAATTTACAAAAAATATGAACTTAGCATTCATATTTTACCTAAGTTTCAAACTGTTAAAAACCTCTCAAATAAGTAAAAGATAAATCACAAAGTTAGTACAATAAACTTGTTAGATAAGCCTCCAAATAAATCTTTGAGTTGCCTCCTCTTGTCCTTCAACTGATTTTCTTCTTTAAGGGATCAACTAATCCCTCATTCAGAACTCTATATGCCCTATATTGCCTTTTAACAAGATCAATTAGCCCCTCCCAACCTGTACTGAAATTTTAACTCCTCTGGAAGGATCTCAACTGCACACCGCCTCTACAAACATTCCACTGTTCTCTGGTATCCAATACCCAAAGTAACCAAGGAGTAGTTTACAATTTTAATATGTTTCAGAAATGGGAGCTGAAAAATGATAAATTCAAGATGATATAGGAAAATTCTGGGACTTTTGAAAACACAGAAGATTAGATCTTAACCACTCGTCTGTAAAACATTACTAGCAATACTTTTTAATACAATTTCCTCCTCTTAAGACACAAAATCTTTCACCCCCGTTTAAGTACTTTTACTAATAATGGTACTTACCCAGTATCTCCCAATCCATGAAGGAAAATAACCTAAAGAGGAGGAGGAAAAAAGTAAGCAATGCTTAAATCAAGGAGCCCACACACAACTGTAGCTTTGGTTAAGGTGAAAAACTGAATGAAGGTTCTTAAAACGTTAAGACAGAATTCCAGAACACTGTGTAGAATTAATATTATAGACCTCTTTTTAAATGGCAAAATAGCAATCACCTTTTCTACTTTTGGTTCCTAAGATAGTTAACGTGGGGTTTTAGCACTTAGAAGTCCCAGTTAGACATTCTGGAGTGCAAATTATCACATTCCAAGGAAAACAGTTTGTCTCCGTCAAGTAAAACCATGGAAGTCTCATACACTGTAGAATTTTTCCATCACAAAAAGGAGTTTCCGGGGGGCAAATATAAGTTTGCAATTCTTAAGAAACAAGTTCCCTTAAAAAAAATCAAGACCTCTTATCTTTTAAGACACTAAAGCTTAAACTTCTGTCACTTGGGACAGGGGTGCAAGGTAGGACAATACAGCAACGTGCTTGCGGACTTGACCTCCTCCACACACCGAGTGGAAGCGTGCTGGAGAGGCACCGGCGCGCGTCGCTTCACGCCGGAGCCAGGCAACCGGGGTCCCGGGGCCGCGCTCCTTCTGCAATGCAGAGGCCAGGGGTCAGGGCCGCTCTCCAGGCCAGCTGCGACCCCAGCGGTGTCCCCTCACGGGCCAGGCCGGGACGCACCACCACCCGCATCCCTCCCGGGCGTCCCCCGACCTGGTCGCCCCCGGCCTGCAACGACCACGCCGCGGGGGGGACAGACGCCGGGGACGGGCCCTGTGGGCCCCTCCGAGCCCCGGCCGCCGTCACTCACCGCGGCGGTGGCCTTCCGGGCAGCAGGAACGACGGAGGGCAGTGGGGCAGACATGTTATTGCCGCACATCCACCGGCTCGCTGGACAGCGCGTCGGAAGCGGAAAGCAGAGCGGGCTCCCGGCCGCGGCCCAAGGGCGTGCGAGCGGCGAGTCCCGGCCCGCGAGTCCGGGCCCGCCCTACCGGGCGCGCGCTCAGGCGCGTGCGCGCCAACGCGGCGCCGCGCCGGCCACCGCGGCTCCTCCGGCTCTCTGGGCTGCCCCGCCCCTCCTCCAGGCCCTCCCGCCGGCCCTCGGCGCGTCACAATGTCCAGGCTTTCCCCGCCCGAGCCTGAGCGCCGCCCGCGCTGACCTCCGCGGGTCTCCATTCCTACCTCTGGTCGCGGTCCCCTGAGCCGGCGCGTGCCCGGTGCGCGGCGTCGGGGCGGACCCGGGGGAGGCCCAGGCCGGCTGCCGGTCCCTGGAGCCGGGCTCCGTCCTCTGCACCAGCCCCAAACCTTATTGCACCCGACCCTGGGTGCTCCTCCTTTGTCTCCGAAGGCCAGGGTTCGCCCATTTGTAAAAGTAAAAGGGAAGGACTGAGGGCACCCCGCTGGGCTGTGGCTGTGTCCCCATTTGGGTTTGCACCCGTGTGCAATTTGGGGGTTGACTCCAGCTTGAGTTGGAACGGAAGCCTTTCAGTTGTCACTCAGAAGCCACAACTTCCCTAAACCTATCCACACTGCTTACAGATGGTCAGATTGCCAAGTGCTACAGATTGAAGCAGAAGTCTAACTGGCCCCTTCCCTGCACTGTTGGGCTGTCTAAAATGTAGTTTATTCAACAACTTTATTGCGTTTTTAATTTATTGCATATGTGGTATGATCTGGTAGGATCCAAGAGATAGTCAAAAAGCTGTGAGCAGCAGGGCGTGGTGGCACATGCCCGTAAATCTCAGGTAGGCTGAGGCAGGAGGATGGCAATTTCATTTTTCAATATCCGACCATCAGTAAGTAGTGTGATCTCATTTACATGAAATATCTAGAATAGAAAATTTCTTGGAGACAGAAAGTAGATTAAATGATATTAAGGCTTAAGGGACGGGAGAATAAAGAGAGATTCCTTAAAGTTTATAGAGTTTTTGTTTAGGGTAATGAAAAAGTTTTGGAAATAGATTCTGGTGAACGTTGGACAACATTTTTTTCATGCAATTAATGCTATTGAATTTTATTCTTAAAAATGTTTAAAAGGCAAATATTACATAGTATACACAACCACAAATTTTTAAAGTTAATATTATAATGTGTTAGTCATCTTTTCGTTGTTTATTACATACCTAAAAAAACCCACTTAGGAAAGGAAAGATTTATTTTGGTTTATGGTTTCAAAGTTTTGAGTCCAGGATTGGCTAGCTCCAAGATAGAAACATCATGGCGGAAAGTTATTGCAAAGGAAAGCTGCTCATCTCATGGCATCTATGAAGCAGAGAGTCAGAGAACAAGGGATTAGGGAAAAGATACAGTCTTAAGGGTATGTCCCCCAAGGACGAATTCCTTCAACTAAGTTCTATCTGCTTCCCTTTTCATCGCCTCCAAATAGTCCATTCAGATTATGAATTCATAGATGGATTAAAATGAAGCTAGTGCCCTCATGATCAAATCACTTCTCCAAAGCCTACCTCTGAATACTGCTGCACTGGAGACCAAGTCTTCAATACATGAGCCTTTGCGACGGACATTCCAGATTTGAGCCATAACATGTAATATACCCAAACTACTGAACTGTACACTTAAATTTTTTTTTTTTTTTTTTTTTTTAGTTGTAGTCAGACACAATGCCTTTATTTTATTTATTTTTATGTGGTGCTGAGGATCGAACCCAGCGCCTTGCACTGCTGGGCAAGCACTGTACCGCTGAACCATAACCCAGCCCTCATCTGTACATTTTTTTAAAAGAAAACTTTTTTCTTTTTTCACTAGGTGCGGTGGTACATACTTATAATCCCAGTGGCTGAGGAGGCTGAGGCAGGGGAGGATCGAGAGTTCAAAGCCAGCCTCAACAACTTAGCCAGACCTTGTCTCTAAATAAAATATTTTTCAAAAGGGCTGGGGATGTGGCTCAGTGGTTGAGTGTCCCTGAGTTCAATCCCTGGTACCAAGAAAGAAAAAAAGAAAAAAAAAAAAAAACTGCAGGCAGGCTAAACGAAGTACTGGCAGCCAATCATATTATCTACTTGTGCTCCTAATTTTCTATCCCTGGCAGCTTGTGTCTGAACTCAGGGTTAAGACTGATAGTCCCATGCCTTGCACAGAACCTCCCTAAGCAGGGTGTCACCATAGCAACTGGGCAATCTTGACCTATATCTTTGCACAGCAAGTTCCCAGTCTAGGGCAGTCTCCTGCTTTGAGACAAAGACCCTGATCCAAGTCACCACTCCCCACATTTGTCCATAATTTGCCTGCAGTAGCTGATGTCATTTAAAGTTGGGGGACAGGACAGTAATTACCCTTGGAGTAATTTCTAAAGCCTTTTAAGTTAAAAAAATTTTTTTTCACCACTTAGTTATCATGAGGGGAATATTCTTCCACATCCCTATACCCCCCTTCTGGAAGTTCCTGTCTTTATCTGTTGCTTTTTAAGTTAGTTTGAATAGTGTATGTATTTCATGGAATTTGATTTCAAGTAATTTCATTTAAATTGTTGAGTTTATTGATGCAAAGTTTTTCACTATATTCCAATCTCATTTTTTAATGTCTGAAGAATTTATAATGATGTTTCATCTGCCATTCCTAATGTTAGTAGTTTGTGTCTTTACTCTTACCCTTGATGGTCTGGCTTAGATTCTAAATTATATTGACCTCATATAATCTGCTTTTTATTTAATTGTTTTCCTCTTTTTTATTTCATTGGCTTTTTTTCTTTTGCCATTTTCTGCCTCTTTTATTGTCTTTACATTTTTTATTTTAGTTTTCTTCTCCCTAGCTTTTTTAGTTCATTGATTTGAGAGTTTTCTTCTTTACTAGTGTTTTTTTATTTAAATTTTTTTTTAATTTTTAAAAATTTATTTTGTAGTTAAAGCACCCAGAGCTCAATCTCTAGTTAACAACAACAACAACAAGAACAAAAAATGTATTTTAAAAAAGTTTTGTTTGTGTCTTTGTATTTCTATTGCTCAGTGCTACAATAGAAATAAAATGAAACCACAGGGCAGCAAAATGTGTGATTTTTACTTCAGGGTTAAGCATAGGAAATGAAATCCCAAAGGTGTTTACCGCACAAAGCTATATAGGAAAAAAAAAGTGAATCATTTGTACAAATAGCCAGATGAAATCTACACCCAATAAATTGTTGTGCATTCTTTCAGGTAAAGAAAACAAAGATTAATTACTTGGAGAAGAAATTACATAAGTCTTACTTAGACTAAAGAAATACCTAGTATGTTAACATACTACTTTCACAAATCTTCTCTTAAACAACCATATGTAGCCTTGATGTCATTAGTTTCCAAGAACAGCTTAACCATACCCCATACATTTTTATGTTATGCTTTGGTTTCACCCCATTAAATATATTCATTTTTTTCCTTTTTTGACCTATAGGTTATTTAAAAAAATATATTATTTCACTTTCTCAAATGTGTCCCACTTTTCTATACAATCTCTATTTTAATCTTTGTTTATCTTATGGTATTGGGGATAGAACCCAGGGTGATGTGCTAGTAAAAACAGAAGGTTTGTGTCTCCTCCGAACTCATATGTTGAGATCCTCATCCCTAATGTGGTATTAGGAAGCAGGGCTGTTAGGAGACAATTAACTCATGAGGGTGAGTACCCTTATAAAAAAGACCCTGAAAGAGGGCATCATCCAAATCCAACCAAGTTAGCATTCTGATCTCTACTTTTCAGCCTTCATAACTGACAAATCAATGTTTGTGGTTAAGTCACCCACTATGATAATTTGTGTATCAGCTTAATTGACTAAGATGTATTTATTAGCATGATTTTTTGCTTGTTTCTCCTGCTTGGGAAAATTCTGCTTATAGGATTATAAATTTATAACTTATTAAATTCAGGGAATTTTTTTTTTTTTAGTTCTCAATGAACCTTTATTTTATTTATTTATATGTAGGGCTGAGAATCAAACCAGTGCCTCACTCATGCTAGGCAAGCGCTCTCTAACTGAGCCACAACCCTAGCGCAAATTCAGCCATTGGTTCTTTAACTTTTTTTGTCCCATCCTCTCCCCTTTTGGGAATCCTATTACACCCATATCAGGACACTTGGTGTTATTTCACAATTCACAGATATTGTGTTGTTCATTTTCCAAGTCCTTCCTCTATCTCATTTTAAGTGATTTCTATGGTTGTCTTCAAGTTTATTAATCTTTTATTTTTTAAACAGGATCTAATCTGCTGATAATCTTATTCAGTCCATTTTTTCTACTAGGATATTATATTTTTCTTCTCTAGATTTCTATGTGTAGATTTTTTTTTTCTTTTAGAGTAGCAAAGTGCTATTATTTTCCCCTCGTCCAGTGCTTTTTAAAAAAATTGTGGCAAGCCATTGGGTACAGTGGCACATGCCTATAAATTCCAGGGTCTTGGGAGGCTGAAGTAGGACAATCCCAAGTTCAAAACCAGTGTTGGTAATTTAGCAAGGCCCTAAGCAATTTAGTGAGACCCTGTCTCAAAAAATAAAAATGAAAACATCTGGGGATATGGCTCAGTGGTTAAGTGCCTTTGTGTTTAATCTTTGGTACCATAATAATAATAACAATAATAATTAATAACAACAACAATAACAAATAAAAAATCATGGCTAAAAACATAAAATTTACCATCTTAATCATTTTTAAATAAACAATTCACTTGTGTTAATTATATTTGCATTGTTGTGAATTAGATTTTTGTATATCTTTCATATTTTTTCTTTTCTTATATTTTTTTTAGTTGTAGGTAGACATAATATCCTTATTTTATTTATTTATTTTTATGTGGTGCTGAGGATTGAACCCAGTGTGTAGTTTTTTGTAGCGCTGTACCATTGAGCTACAACCCCAGCCCTCATATTTTTTCTTAAAAGGCTCATCCTTCTACCTTCTTAAACATATGAACTCTATTTATACTGCTTTAAAACTATCTTAACAATTTCTATCACCTGTGTCACGTCTAGGTCTGTTTAAATTGAGTGATTTTTTTTTTCTTTTCATCATAGCTC